GACAGGGAACGTTTTGCTCCCAGTACCCTCCAATTTAGGTTTGAGTCATGGGCTCCTAGAACACTTCCTACCAGGCATCTTTGAGTATTCATGGCTGAAATGCACCAGTTAGCCACAAGTATAATAGGAATGGGTCATTTATCCCATAGGTGGGATGGTTCCCTTCTACTGAGCAGCGTGGCTTTTAGATGAAACTTTATTGTTTTTTAATGAAGGAGTAAATTTTGTTAACGATTTATTTATGTTTATTTCATATGCATTAGTGTTTGCCTGCATGTATGTCTGTATTAGGGTATCAGATCCCTTGGAATCAGAGTCACAGACAGTTTTGTGCTGCCATGTGGGTGCTGCGAATTGAACCCAGTTACTACAGAAGAGCGGCCCATGCTCTTATCCACTGAGACACCTCTCCTGACCCTAGACAGAACTTTAATTGTCTGTGATTGGTAGGAAATATGAAGATCTTTCATCTGTTGTCTTTTCTACATCTGAAGCCTCTCAGTTATCAATTACCTTCAGGCATGAGTCCAGTGAGCTGGTAATCAAAAGATAAGTTTTAGGGACTGAGGCTTGTAAGTTGTTTATTCCCTGAGTCTTAATGAGCCTCCGTCTAAAATGCAGTGTTTAAATTGAATTTTTCTTATTTTCTCTATCTTAAGTGGAATACTATTTATTGATTCTTTTATAACTTTGTAAGTGTAAAAAATTATATGCACCTGAAGTCTTTCCCACTCTCTCTAGACACCCCCAACTCTTCACTGCTGTTCTTCACAGGAACCCTCAGTGAGTCACACTTCCTCCTTTGTGCTCTCTCTCTCTCTGTTAATAACCTACTGAATCCAATAAATATTGCACATATAACTGCAGTGAATTGATGGTTGCAGTGGCCATGTCATGTAGCAAAGATAGCATTTGATAGTTCTCCTCAGCACCCTCCCAGCTCCTGTATTTTTTCCATCCCTCTGTGATGTTCTGTGAGCTTGGGGGAGTTGACATAGAAGTCCTGTTTAGGCTTTGACAAGTTATGACTCTCTTGTTTAATGGCTGACCACTCCTGAAGGAAGCTTCTCTGGCCAGGGTTGCAGTTAGAGTTAATTTATAGGTGTAATTATGAATATTTAAAGGCAATGTTATAACATGGATTTTAGCAAAACAACAATAATAACTTCCTCCTTAGGGTCTGTAACATCCTGAGCTAAGAGCATTTAAGGAGGTTTACATTTGAATCTGAATTTCTGTGGAGTAGGCCACAAAATTCAGAAGCAATTGGTTACACCATAACATTTTTGTCACTGTAGCACCAGTGGGCACATCTTGCCTGGTAGGTGGCTACTGTAGCAATGAAGTGGCTGCAGGGAAACTGTTGGTGTCTTTTCTCCCACTGTGACCTACCTAGCACTTCCAGCAATTATGAGAGTTAGTTAGCACGTCTTGGTCTCCAGCCTTTCTTCAGTATGGAATCTATCAACTTGGAGGAAAACGCTATACACTCTATGCTTTCTTCCAAATCTTAGAATCTGCCTGCCTCCTCTTCTGGGATTGTTCCCTGAACTCAGAGGAGATGGTGCACAGATAATCTATGTAAGACAAAGTGTAGGGCCACTATGTCAGCAACAACCACCAGTTGTTACGAATCTAGTAAGTTTATGGCACTTCTTTTTAACTTCTGAGACTTAAGGCATTTCCCTCCAGGATGGAATATTTTAATTTGGAAGAAATTGCTATGCAACAAGGACAAATCAGAAATGGAAAGGGAGTCACATATCTAGATGGCACCAGGGTCTTCATTGGCTACCATATGAAGGAGAAGAATATTTTATGAGGAAGGAGATATTCCTTATTTGATCACTGAGTTCCCTATGTGAAACGCTTGCGTGAGTATGTCAAGGACAATGTGCATGGGTAAAGGAATAGAGTGATTGGAGAAAATTCCAGCGGTGGAGAGTCAGGTAATTTCAGAAACATTAAAGGTGATTTGATCATGGGGTATAGCAAGCTGTCTGTTTTCTCCCTTCACCTTAAGTTCCCACCAGAGTTGCTTTGGTCAGTGTCCTTATAAGTAAAGTTTTCTGAAGTAGGCTAAACAAAATATTTTAGTTTCTATGTCCCTTGGTGGTAAACAGTGGTCTGAATTCATGCCTCTAAATCCTTTAGGTCTTGCTGCAGAGCCATACCTATAGTTGAATGGAGCAGAAAAGGGAGTTAAGAAGAGAATGCCTTTGATAGTTGGAATGAGAGTACCACACACCCCCTGCACCCCTCCCCCCAAAAGGCACAAATAATTGAATGCTTAGTCACCAGGGAATCAAACTATTTGAGAAAAGTTAGAAGGATTGAGAGGTGGGGACTTGTTGGAGTAGGTATGGCCTTGTTGGAAGAAGTGTGTCTCTCGAGGTGGGCTTTGAGATTTCAAGAGGCCACACCAGGGCCCCCCACCTCCATACCGTCCCTGCTACCTGAAGATTAGGATGTAAAACTTTCAGCTATTTTTTTTTTTTTTTGGTCTGATGCCATGCATTCCAACAGGACGATAATGGACTAATCCTTTGAAACTATAAGCAAGTATGGGTTAAATGCTTTTTTATAAGAGTTACCTTGGTCATAGTGTCTCTTCACAGCAACATAACAGTAAATAAGACAGTCCTGAGATAAGCCATTCATATATGGAATGATGACACAGACAATAAAAGTAACTTACCAAGACATAAGGAAGCAAAGAATGTATTGAAATACTTCACTGAAGCAGCGGGTGAGATCCCAGAGAGGGGAGTGCACCAATGAAAAGAAGTAGAGTTCTTTTGATAAGAGTCAAAGGAAGGCAGAGACAGTAGATCCCTATAACTTCAAGGCCAGCCTGTCTACATAGAGAGACCTAGTCTTGGGCTGGAGAGATGACTTGGCCCTTAAAAGACTAGACTCCCCACCAAAACAGAAGAGATACCCTGTCTCAAAGAAAGGAAGAAAGACAGAAAGACAGAAAGAAAGGAAGAAAGGAAGAAAGAAGTCAAGGAGGAAGTGACTTATTCTTCCTTGTAGACTTTGCAGGCAAATGTGTAGACATGGGATTTTGCTGAGTAGTAAACTTTACAGTGTCAGTTGTTTTTCTTTAGACTGGCCACTTTTATATTAGGTTGCTAAATCTAATTGGTGGCCTGATAAATTCTGGGAATTTGCTGTTCCTTTGTGTCTTTTATGTGTTTCAAATGGTCTTCTTCATCTTTGTTAGACAAGTCATCACGGTTATTGTTCAGAAGGCTTTGATAATTGCTAGACATTTGTGTTACTAGTGGGAATGGAAATGTAGATTTTGGTGACTACTAAGAAGTCTTGAGTTTATGATTTTTATAAAGGTATAATTTAGAAGAGATGGCATTTTAGTGACACTGACTTCCTCTTTCCCCTCCCTCCCTCCTTCCTGAGATGGGGATCTTTACACGCCAGCTTTGAGATCCTGGATCAAGTGACCCTAAATATCAGGTTTCCAGAAGCTGGGACTACAGCAAATAACATACCTGGCTACCTTAAGTTCTTGTAAAAACTTATGTTATCTAATTGTTCTATTTCCTTTGATATTTATTGAATAGATATTACAAACTTGCTCCCTATTAGTGCAAGACTCAGCGAACATGACCAGAGAGGGATCATAAAGACTGTAGGAGCCAGAAGTATGTGGAAGAGTGCTGTGAGATGCTGTCTTCTGCCTATGACATGGACTCAGGATCTCACAGCATCCGTGGTTGTTTGCATAAGACCTGCACAAAATCAAGCCGGTCAATAATGTTAGCATAAAATCATGAGCTAACGAAACTCAGCTCCTCTCTCAGGAACTATCAGCAATTTTTCTTTGGGTATATGGCTGCTAGGAGGTTGTTGGTATATGTGCAGGTAGAACTCATTGGATATAGTGGGTAATAAAAGCAAAAACAGAAACAAGGGTCTGGAGAGGCTGCATAGGGATTAAGAGCATTTGTTGTTCTTGCAGAGGACTCCGGTATGGTTCCCAGCACTCACATCGTAGCTGTCCATAACTCTAGTTCCAGGGGATCTTATGCTTCCTCTGGTTTCTACAGGAACCACCTGAATGTGGTACATTGATGTATATGCAAACAAAATAACCATACACATAAATCCTTAAAAACAAACCAAACAAATGGAGAGAACATGAAGCTAGGAGGGCGTGGGCTGGGAGGGCGGTTACAGAGGGAATGGAAGAGGAGGTTGGGGGCGGGGGAATGTGAGCAATACATACATACAATGTGTATAAATACTTATGTGTAAAGTTATCAAAGAATATATAGAGAGATTAAAAACTGTTCTCTTGTGGTCATTATTATCTCTCACATTGACTGCTTTATTAAATTTGGGTGAGTATAAACTGCTTTTAGGATTTTAATATTTCCCTCACCTTCATCACATAGCACAGATGAAATTGTCCATGTAGCAAGTTTTGACAATTTATGTGAAATACATTAGGCTTATTGCCCTACATGTACTGTGGGGATGGATTCTTCCCTTATTGCCGTGTATGGAACATTCCAGAAATTGAACAAGGGTTCAGAAAATGCCAAATGTTTCCCAGAATCACTTAGACTAAGTGACTGCTATTACCATTTGTGTTGATGAAGTCTCCTATAATCTCAGGTGCACTTGTCTGAGTAAAGATCCTCTTGCGCCTAAGAAATTCTAAGAAGACGCAACCTTTTGACTAGTCTGTTTTGACCCTCATTCAGTAGGACTTGTTTATCACAGGAACAAGATAATCCATTCTAGACAGAGAAATTGGCTCGACCCAGTAGAACACTCCAACCCCTGGTTGGAGTTATGAGAGTGTTGGTCCACTATTTTGGTAATTTCCTATCTGAATATGTCAGTCTTAGCATTAGAACTTATCTGTCATTTAATACAAGTTTGGAGACTGCAGAATTATATGAATACCTTATCAGTTATACACAGTACTGAGTTTCACCCATTTTCTTATGTATATGTATGGGATATTTTAGGACTCAGTGACCTTTGAGGATGTGGCTGTAAACTTCACCCAGGAAGAGTGGACCTTACTGGATCCTTCTCAGAAGAACCTATACATTAATGTGATGCTGGAAACCTGCAGCAACCTTGCTTCTGTGGGTAAGAGTGTTGATATTCCTTTACTTTGTCAATTGGACAAGTGTTCCGTCGTTCTGTAATTTGGAATATGGAAAGGGAAGAATTATGTGGATAAATCAGTATGGGTACAATGTGCATTAACCCTAGGAACTTGGGAATGTTTTGTAGTTTCTGGTAATTTGTCATATTTTTTTCTGGGTCTACATTTTAGGAATCAAATCAGAATACCAGACCATTGAAGATCAGTATAAACAACCTGGGAAAAATATAAGGTAAATTACATGTATTAGTTGGGAAAAAACTATCTTTTGAGAGAATCTTAATATGTTATGAAAATTTATGAACAGGTTAGCAAGGCAAACACAAATTTAAATTATTCACCGTTATAAAAATTTTACAAAGACATGTTATTCCATGTAAGAAAGCTTTCCAGCTTTGAAAATAGTTCACTTGGAAAAAGTATTGAGAAAAATGCATGTATGATATTTGCTGTTTTAGTAATAGCTTTAAGAGCCATGTTGCAGTAACACCAATCCATTTAGTTAGTGAACATTTAAATAGTGCATAAGGCGTACACTTTCTCTGATTTAAGCAATAGTGGGAGACCAAGACCTACCATAGCTAAATAGCCATCAGTACGGCAACCATTAGTAATGTGCCTGCCAGTGTTTACAGACATCAAATGCTAGACTTGGTCTGTGAGAGTGAAGAAGGTGATGCATTTGGAGAAACCTCCAAGAAATCACATGTCAGTAGAAGTCTAGGGATTGCTGCTCAAGCGAAACTATGTGAATGTAGTTTGTACGGGGAAGTTTTCATGTCTCATTCATCCTTTCCTAGGAACATCCTAACCCTCACCGGATACACTCGATATGAGCTTGAGGACTGTGGGAAGAAGCGATCTCACACCAGTCCTCTCACAACTGTTCACATATACATGGGAACCCACACTGCGAGCAAAACTTATGGATACGACATATATTCAAAACCCGTTGGTGTTCCAAGCTCAGGTGGCACTCGTAAGCAAATTCAGAGTGGAGAGCAGCCCCATGAATACAGTATAAATGAAACAGCCTTTATTTGCCCCAGCTCATTTTGCATACATGGAACAGCTCACAGCGAAGAGAACCTTTCTGAATGTAATCCATGTGGTGCAACTCTGAGTTCTTTCAATTACATGCTGTTTTGCAGTGGAACTTGTAATGAAGGAAGGCATTTTGACTGTATACAGTGTGTTAAAGCTTTCAGATGTCACAGTTCTCTTCAAAGGCATGAAAGAATTTGTGCTGGGGAAAAACGGTATGAATGTAAACAATGTGGCAAGTCATTCATTTATCCTTATTTACTTAAAATGCATGAAAGGTATCATACTGGAGAGAAGCCTTATAAGTGTAAGATATGTGGTAAGGCATTTCTTTGTTCCTCTTTCCTGCAAAGACATAAAAGAACTCATACGGGAGAAAAACCCTATAAATGTAAGCAATGTGCTAAGCCCTTTAGGCGTCTCAGTAATCTTCAAGTTCATGAAAGAACTCACACTGGAGAGAAACCCTATGAATGTAAACAGTGTGGTAAAGCTCTGAGAAGCCACAGTTCCCTTCAAAGACATAAAATAGTCCATGCTGGGAAGAAACCCTATGAATGTAAACAGTGTGGTAAGTCCTTCATTTATCCATATTTACTTCAAACCCACGAAAGATCCCATACTGGAGAGAAGCCTTACAAATGTAACATGTGCAGTAAAGCCTTTCGTTGTTCCTCTTTCCTGCAAAGACATGAAAGAACTCACACTGGGGGAAAACCCTACGAGTGTAAGCTGTGTGGTAAGGCTTTCAAAGGGCATAGTTCCCTTCGATTGCATGCAAGGTCTCACAGCGGGGAGAAACCATATAAATGTAATACATGTAGTAAAGCCTTCCTGTGCCCCTCTTTTCTCCGAAGACATGAAAGAACTCACACTAGGGAAAAGCCCTATGAATGCAAAAAGTGCAACAAAACCTTCCGATGTCAGAGTTCTCTTCAGTTACATGAACGATCCCATACCGGAGAGAAACCCTATAAATGTAAGATCTGTAGTAAAGCCTTTCTATGTACTTCTTTCCTCCAAAGACATGAAAGGATTCACTGTGAAGAAAAGCCCTATGCGTGTAAACAGTCTGCAAAAAACTTTAAAGGTAGAAGTTCCTTTCAAAGACATAAAGTTTCTCATGCTGGGGAAAAACCTTATGAATGTAAACAGTGTGGTAAGTCCTTCATTTACCCATGTTTACTTCAAGTTCATGTCAGAACCCACACTGGGGAGAAACCCTATGAGTGTAAACAGTGTGACAAGGCTTTCAGAAGTCTCAGTTACCTTCGTATACATGAAGGAAGTCACACCGAAGAAAAGCCCTATGAGTGTAAAGAGTGCGGTAAAAGCCTCAGTTGCTCTAGTGCCCTGCAGTTACATAAACGGACACACACGGGCGAGAAGCCCTATGCGTGTCAGCAGTGCGGGAAAGCCTTCAGGGGATTCAGTTATCTTCGAGTCCATGAAAGGACTCACACTGAAGACAAACCCTATGAGTGCAAGCAGTGTGGGAAAATTCTCAGTTGCTCGAGCTCCCTTCAGCTGCACGAAAGAACCCACACTGGGGAAAAGCCCTATGCGTGTCAGCAGTGCGGGAAAGCCTTCAGAGGTCTCAGCCGTCTCCGAGTCCACGAAATAATCCATACCGGAGAAAAACCCCATGAATGTAAACTCTGCGGTAAAGCTTTCAGGTATCATAGTTTACTTCGCGTCCACGAAAGGACCCACACTGGTGAAAAGCCGTATGCTTGTAAACAATGCAGTAAAGCCTTCAAAAGCCTCAGTAACCTTCGAATACATGAAAAAACTCACAGTGGATTCTATGAGTGCAAACAGTGTGGCAAGACTCTCAGTTCTTCCAACTCCCTCCAAGTACATGAAAGGGTCCACAGTGGAAAAAAATCTCACGAATGCAAACAGTGCGGAAAAACCTTCCGCCGGCTCAGTAATCTCCAGGTACATGAAAAAACTCACGCTGAAGGGAAGCCCTTTGAGTGTAAGCAATGTGGTAAGACCTTCCTTTATCAGTACTTACTTGAAAAGCATGAGAAGTCCCACAGTGCAGAAAAGCCCTATAAATGTATGATCTGCAGTAAAGCCTTTATTTGTCCCTCCTTCCTTCAACGCCATGAAAGGATTCATAGTGCGGTAAGACCCTACGAGTGTGTGCAGTGTGGTAAAGCGTTTAAAGGCCTCAGTTCCCTTCAGTTACACGAAAGAGCCCATGCCAGAGAGAAGCGTTATGACTGTACGCAGTGTGGTAAAACCTTCAGATGTCACAGTCTCCTCCAGGCGCATGAAAGAACCCATACTGGGGAAAAACCCTATGAATGTGCAGAGTGTGGCAAAACCTTCAAAAGTGCGGGTTACCTTCGGATACATGAAAAAACTCACAGTGGCTTCTATGAGTGCAAACAGTGTGGCAAGATTCTCAGTTGCTCAAGTTCTCTTCAGTTACATGAAAGAACCCACACTGGAGAAAAGCCCTACGGATGTAAGCAATGTGGTAAGGCCTTCAGAAGTCAAAGTTCCCTCAGAAGACATGAAAGGATTCACGCCGGAGAGAAACCCTATGAATGTAAACAGTGTGGTAAGTCCTTCATTTATCCATGCTACCTTCAAATGCACGAGAGATCTCACACTGGAGAGAAACTCTATAAATGTAATATATGTAGTAAAACGTTTCTTTATCCCTGTTTCCTTCAAATGCATGAAAGAACTCATACTGGTGAAAAACCTTATAAATGTAAGCAATGTGATAAAGCCTTCCGAAGTCACAGTTCCCTTCAAATGCATGAAAAAACGCATACAGGAGAAAAACCCTATGAATGTAAGCAGTGTGGTAAAGTTTTGATAAGTCATAGTTCTCTTCAGAGGCATAAAATAGCTCACGCTGGGGGAAAACTTTATGAATGTAAACAATGTAGTAAGTCCTTCACTTACCCATATTTACTTCAAATTCATGAAAGATCTCACACTGGAGAGAAACCCTATGAGTGCAAAGACTGTAGTAAAGCCTTTACGTGTTACCGTTCCCTTCAGAGACATGGAAAAACTCACACCTGTGGGAAAATCTCTGTAAATGCAGACTAACATGCGAGAATGTTTAGAGTTTCTAGTTCTCTCCAAATGTGTGGAAATACTGGGAAAAGAGCTGATGAATGTAAAACAAATAGTGGTTTGTTGTTGTTGTTGTCATTGTCGTTGCTATGGAAAGTTTGGAATTATTCACTGAGGGAAAAACAAAACAAAACAAAAACCTATGAATCTAACCGATGTGCTAAGACCTTCACTTCCATTTGAAGACGTGAAACTACCTGGTGTTAAAACCCAGAATGGAATATGATATTTCATTTCTTGGATATACTCAAATACATAAAAGATATCTGACTGAAACTGCTGCAGTTTGGGAAGTAAAGCTTATATTTTAACAGCACTAAAAATCATGTAATAATTCTGATTAGAAGATCCTACAAATGTGTGTTGAAATGTTGAAGCAAATCATGCTAAAATTTTTATAACACGAATGAAAAGCTATGCAATTTATGAATGTATGGTGTTTTCCAGCCATTTACACTTGAAGATGTTCCCAGCTGCACCTCATAGATCAGGCCTGTACTTTTGGGTACTCTTGCTTTGCTGCAGCTGATAGCAAGTTCAAGGCAAGCCCAGACAACTTAGTGAGACCAGTCTCAATAAAAATTGGAAAACAAAAACAAAAACAAAGCAACTCATTCATTTCGCTCTGGTCTCCCAGTTTAATGTCTAGTCCTAGCATCAAGAGAAATGAGAAAGTTCCTTGTTGGTGAATTTGCATTTCTTTTACAGGAAAACATTGAGATGAAAATGTTCTAAGTGTAGACATGAACTTTAACTGTAGAAATAGAGAGAAACTCTGTCTCGAAAAAACAAAAAACAAAAAAAACCTGTAGAAATAGTTGCTGATAGAGATTGTTAGACAAATTTTTAATCACCATATATGTACCTTATAAGGTAGCCCACCAGACACTTATGCTACATGATATAAAAGACCCCACTAGTCTATCGAATGTTGCTTCTTTAGCCATGGTTGCAACAGATATGTATCAAAAGATTTGGCATAAAAATAAATGCCCTACCTATGATGAGTACTTATTTTGAGTGGAGTTTTCAGGACTAGAGTTTGTTCAATCAGAGACTTAGGTGAATATAAACTCCCAGGACACATTAATCTACTGTAAAATATCAACACTATAGACTTAGTTTATAGTATTTTGATGTTTTCCTAAACAATAAATTGACTTAAAGCTTTTTATAGGGTGTATAATTTTAATACTTTTGATTTTTGTGATAACACTGCTTAAAATGTAACCATTTTACAATTGTTTAAAATTATTCGTATGCTTATTCTCTGCTTTTTGCATTGTAGATGTTTTTAAAAAATTGTTTGTGAAAAACAGCTATCACTTAGAACAGAGGCAGGAAGTTGGTGTCTGTAGCTTTCAGATTTATATGTGGACTGATTCTCATGTGTTTCTGTTCATGTATTCTGTTTATGTGATTAACTGCACCTTACTTTGTTCTCATCATACAACATGGGCATTGCATGTGATGTCATGTCACACAATGCCTATTAACAGCTCCAAGAAGCAAATCAGCTCACAAGCAAGACTTGCTGACTGTTGCAAACAGAAGTGCTTCTACTAAATAACCAGAGTCTTCTGCTCTTATGGAAATAATGATTTAATTGTGGAAAACAGACTTTTCGGTTTTTCTAGTGTCATTCATCAGCATGTAAGTACTAGATTAATCTTTTTTATCTAGTAAAAAAATTTTAAATCTAATTTATGTTTGTATTGTACTGTATAGTATAGTTTAAAAGTTGCCTGAGTTACTTACTGATTTGTATTTTATTAAAAAAAAAAGAATCATTCAATGATTATTGGGTTTCAATAAAGAAAAAAAATATTTTAACTACTTATGAAATGATCCTAACTGTATTTCTGCCTACTGTTTTATGTGATGTTCTTTATATTTGCCAAGTATAAAACCAAAGTATTGCCAGGCAGTGGTGGTGCATGCCTTTAATCCCAGCACTTGGGAGGCAGAGGCAGGTGGATTTCTGAGTTCGAGGCCAGCCTGGTCTACAGACTGAGTTCCAGGACAGCCAGGGCTACACAGAGAAACCCTGTCAAGAAAAAAAAAGAAAAAAGAAAAAACAAAACAAAAAACAGAATTTGACATTTAAAACCAAAGTATCATCTCTGAAAACTACTGATTCTCTATATGCTGTATTATCAAATATTCAGCTAAGATTCACTGTTTTATGTAGAAATAAGTATGCCCATTTTATTAATATACAAACTTAACTTTCATAATAAATGATAAAGTTGTCTAGTCACCAAATTGTTTTTAAGTAGATTTCTTTGATTTACAAACAGTAAATGTTTCATTTGAACATTCACTTATAAAACCTGTTTACTGAGGGATGCATTACAATTTCTCACTCAAAGGGAGTCACAAATAAAAAAAGAAACAGAATCAAAACTGAGTTAGTCCAGTGGTTTCCAGCTTATGGCACTGTTTTGGGCCTTGACAAACCTTGGCAGATATGGCCTTGCTGGAGGAAGTAGGTACATGAAAGTCAGGCTTTCAGAATTATAACCATGACCCAGTTCCTGGATTTTTTTTTCCCTCTGTCCTAATACTATCAAGGTGAGAAGTTACAGGCATACAGTCTGGCTACTATGGAAACATTGTCACCCTGTTTTCATAGCATGATGGCTGTAGCACCTTAACCCCATCAAAAGAGATTTACAGATTCCATTAGTGTGGTATTTTATGATGGCAGCAGGGGACAGAGGTAAGGGAGAGAGAGAGGAGGGAGGGGATCCACCAGGAACTGATTAGTGCAGTGTGCATATCTCCCACATAAAATATTCTGGAAATTTTCTTTTAAGTTTCCTCTAGTGTTTTGTAAACCAGAGCTGTGGAAAGGTTAGGTTTAGATTTTGGTTATGTTAGGATTAGAAATTAAGGGTTCGAGTTATAGGGTTGGGTTAAGATTAATGTGATATTTAATGTTCATTGTCATTGTAGTGGTTGGTTTTGTATCAACTTGACACAAGCTGAAATTATCACAGAGGAAGGAGCTTCAGTTGAGAAAATGCCTCCATGAGATCCAGCACTAAGGCATTTTCTCAATTAGTGGTCAAGGGGGAAGGGCCTCTTGTGGGTGGTGCCATCCCTGGGCTCGTAGTCCTGGGTTCTATAAGAAAGCAAGCTGAGCAAGGCAGAGGAAGCAAGCCAGTAAGTTACATCCCTGCGTGGCTCCTGCATCAGTTCCTGCTTCCTGACCTGCTTGAGTTCCAGTTCTGACTTCCTTTGGTGATGAACTTTTTTTTTTTTTTTCTTGGACAGGGTTTCTCTATGTAACTCTGGCTGTCCTGGAACTCACTCAGTAAACGAGCTGGCCTCTAACTCACAAAGATTGCTATCAAGGATTAAAGACACGAGCCATCACCTCCAGCCAGAAAGAGCTTTTTTTTTTTTTTTTTTTTTTTTTTCTTCTCAACTTGCTTCTTGGTCATGATGTTTGTGCCGGAATAGAAACCTTGACTAAGACAGTCACCTTAATGGAATTTAGAATAGTCGTGGAAACAAATTTCTTTGGCATGTCTGTAGGGGATTCTTTGACTAGGTTAACTGAAGTAGGAGTGCTCATCTTAAACAAAAATTACCTTTTGAAGATGATGATGCTATAGAAATCAGTGACTGACACCTGAGATGATTTTAAAGGATATTGCTATAACCCTCAGGTACTTCTCTTCCTCTGTTACTCAGTTTTAATTATTAGTTAATTTCTTATTTGATAGGACAGTATTTTACTATGTAGCCCAGGATTTCTTCACATCCACAGTAGTCTTCCTACCTCTACCTCATGAATGCTAGATTGCCAGCATGCTTTCCTACAGTCCAGCGTAAGTGGCACATTAGAATGGTAAGACAGAGAGAGCAATTGTGTTAGACGAAGAGAAAGAGAAACACAGCTTTATGCTGCTTTATGCTGTAGTAATACAGTTCTTTTCAGGAACCTCCACTTCAGTGAAGCCAGAATTCTTGACTGCATTGTCAAAAAGAACTTGAGTCAGTACAGACTGGAGGTGGGGTTTTATTTAGTTTGTCTAGTGTGTGCATGTGTGCGCGTGTGCTATGGCATCCCGATGAAGGTTAGAGGACAAAGTTACCTTCCCCTGAACTTGAGGCAAGGTCTCTTATTTGCTGCTCCAAGCCTGTGATTGTCTAGGGATTCTCCTGTCTCTGCCTCCTGTCTTGTCACCGGTACACTGGAATCACAGACCTGCACAGTCATATTTGACTTTACTTGTGTTCTGAGGATGGGAACTCAGGTCCTCCATTACAGGGAAAGCGCTTTACCCACTAAGCCATCTTTTCTACCCTGGAGTTTATTAAGAAGAGCATTTAAGCCTAGTTATTAGCAAGAAAGGCACTTCAGGAAAATTTGTGCTCGTCAAGGGAGAGCCACCCTTAGGTGTTCCAACAGCCATATATACAACTTTCATGACTTCTGAAGTTACATCTCCAGCAGTTCACAGAAGACTCTTTGTCTTTCCTTTTAGTAAATGAGATCATTGGTTGTTTCCTGCGGTGCTGTGGATGGTATTATGTAACGGCCGTTTCTTTTGTAACGGCTGTCAGGTTCTGCTACTTTGTAAAGGCCGGCCGGTTCTGCTGCTCCGATCCGCAGGTCAGGGTCTAGCAAGAGAGAGAGTGGGGACGGAGGAAGGGGGAAAAAGGGGCGAGAGACGCAAAAGATAGATACAAGACAGAGTCCGGTGGAGTCTCTTCAAGTCTCTTCTTTATTCTCCTCTCTTCTATATATATTCTCCTACTTTCTTCAGTCTCCTGACACCTCTCACTTTCTCACTCCTTCCACCTTCTACCTCCTACTTCCTACTTCCTACTTCCATCTACCTCCTACCTTCTACCTCCTACCTCTACCTCCTACTTCCTACCTCCTACCTCCTACTACCTCCTCTATAGAAAGGAAATCCTGGGTATTTATACCCTTTACCACGTGACTTGCCCTCGTGGACAAGCTCAACTGAAGCCACTACGTCACGTGCCTTGTAGCCATGGATACCAGGAGCACCTTGCAGCTGGGGGCACTAAACAGTGTAACAAGATGTTTATCAGAGTGCGCTCAGCTATTGCAGGCTGTTGAAACAAGTCTCTTGTCAGGGTATATGGCTCGAGATGGCTGTAAAGATGATAGCCAC